TAATCAACAAAACATAGTATATAACAATAAATACATTGAACAAATATTGGATTCAGCCTATAAAACAAAAGCAGCTGTAGACATGTGTTTCTGTCTCCTAGTCAGTACGGCAAAGTTACCTTACAGATGTTGGTAAATGTAGCGAATAAGATTATTCAGAAAAAAGTGTACAAAGAAATACTGATGGAAAAAGTAAAGAAGTGACACAACGACCAACTGTTAATTTGTGATTTTTCTCTGAATTGCTGATATGGTTGTTAATTAAATTCAAATATTTCAGCTTTAACTGCCTGAAGGACAAACTGTTACCCAAGGATAGAAATAATAATTTTATTTTCTATCTCCCCATCATCTTTGGCTCGACGATCCTCTGTGGATTGCTTGCTCTAAGAGTCATTGCCATTCTGTTCGGTTTCTGGTGACGTGTTGCCATCTTCTGATCTCTAATATCCCTAAATTGGTCTCAACTCCATCTAACCACCTAATTTTCGGTCATCATCTGCTTCTTATTTTTTATCTACAGATTTTAATAAACGGGGAAAAATATTATGCGTCCAAAAACTTTCAGCAGCTGTCATTAAACTCTCCAAATGATTTTCATCATAGTCCACCCATGTATAATTGAAATTAGAATTATTTTCAAATTCTGGATCAGCAAATATATATATATATATATATTAACTAAAATGTTATTTCAAGATTATTGTAATATTTATTTTAAAAACCAAGAAAAAAATTATTATAAAGGCTGTATATTCAGATACTACCTATCAGAATTAAAATGGGCTAAAATAAATTTCCATGAAAGAGTGTTTATTCCTTCATATTTACTGCAAAATGCAGTATAAAATTTAGCTCAGCTGATGTTTGTCTCAGATCAGAATTTTTTATGTTTCAAGAATGCTCTTAATTTAAAATATTAAAAATACATATCTGTTTATAAAAATACCTACTTACCTAATGAAGCAGCACAATCATAACACTTTAGATCAAGTACTTCCTCGGTTTCTTCATTAATTTCACAACTTACAGCATACTGTTTTTTCTTAACATTATGTTCAGGTGTTATTTTTGCCCTTACAGTACAGATCATGTTATTTCTTTTTACTTGAACCCATCCTACAGCTGCATCTCCATATGATTCTCTGCCAGATCTAAATGCAAACGATGAATAAGTTAATTTGATTAAATTTCAGTACAATAGCATAAACATATAATATTGACCCTACTTAATATAAAGTACTAAGTTTTATCATTAAATACTTACTTATTATGAGAATAATAATCACAATAAAATTAATGTAATAGGAGTATATGTACTTACTTATCTGCTTTAACTCCCCGAACTTCTCCCAGGGAAACATTTTCACCGTTTTGAAAATATGTGGCTACCATAAACATATTTACAATGGGTAAGTTATCAGACTGGCCTTTGGAAAAACCATCTTCGGTCATTTTAAAAAATATATCTGAACAAAAACACTCAAATATTATTAAATATATAGTTCACAGCAACTATCTAAAGATTTATAAAACTGAAATACACCATAAAATTACTACTATAACAACAAGTAAACGAATGTCAAACGTAATGAATTAATAGTGCGCCAATCCCAATCGTTGAACATTCGGACTATATGACGTCACGACCAATGAGGCCGCGTTTTGGACTGGCTGCCATAATTTGAATTTTCTCTCGATTTTAATCGTTTTTAGGGCCAAACTAAAGACAAAAACAACTTTTTTTTGTTTGATATATATTTTAAATTATGTTTTGTTATGATTTAAGGCATTTTCTTCGAATTTAAAATTTTAGGCAAGTTCCCTATTATACAATACCCATCCATAGGTAAGAAGGAGGTTAGGCAATACCTTTGCAGTTGCAGCGTTGCAATACTTATCGTTTTTACCCGTTTATAGGGATGACCAACGGACGGTGTGACGTCACAACCGCTGCAGTTTTAATTGCTTATATTTATTTCATAATTATAAAATATGAGTTTTTTTGTAAACTGGGGTTCTCTTAACAGCATTAAATAACGTTTATGAGTAATATTTTTGAAATTTAATTTTTATGCAAGTTCCCCATTATACATCCGTAAGTAGAATTCGCTTTAATATGCAAATACTCGTGAACGATACATAATTTTCTATGTTCTATGTATTCGCTGTGAGTTTCACCGGTAGCGCTCTCTCGCGGTTTGAAACTTGTACTTTTCTTGTAAAATCAGTGTAAATGAAATATGACAAAACGAGAAAAATAGATATTTATTTAAAAATACAAAATATTGAACTGAAATATTATGGTAAACTGATTAATGAACGAATACACAGAATTGATAGTAAAAGTAATTACGCCTTGTTATTTTATTCATTATAATTATAATATTTAAGATATAAGTTCTTGCGACTGGATGACTACTTACGCAAGAGGTCATTGAGAAAAAGAAGAAGTTTATATGAAAATATTTAATGGTTAAAGCAAATATTTAAGGTTATAGACGCTTAAAACGTCTATATTCTGGTTACCTTTACCTCTGTAACGTTGTAATTCTTGTTTTTATTTTACATTTTTATTCTGTTTTTGCTCAGCTATTTTTTGTGTGCGTAGGCCTTAGTGCTTAGATATCAATTTGTTTTAATTCTTCTTCTTCTTCTTTCGTTTTATGGCCTCCACCTCTTAAATTTGTTTTAATTTTATCAAAATGGATATTAAACATTATACTGGTTTTAAGTCTATATCACATGATATCCCATTTCAACCAGCTACACCAAAAAAGGGAAAAGGTTTAGTTGATGCAGGGCATGTACGCAATGTTTCGGAATGTAATAGCTTTTTAATTTTACACTATACAAATATCATGTTTGCATTATAGGTTATTTACTTATTTTTCTCGTTGATAGCAATAATCCATTTTTCTCTTTGAACTATTTTATGCTTGGCAACAGGAAATGAATAAAATTTACAATGACTGTTGTACCCAGTATTTTTACATGTATCATATATTTTTCTTTTTGAAAAATCCATATTCGCCATTATTTGAATGTTTACAAGTTAAATGCACAAAACTGCCACTAACAGCGTTGGTGAAAACTGTCAAATCCCCTCTACTCATCGGCTCACAGCGAATAATAATCACAGACTCACGTCTTTTTCTGTCACTTCTAGCTTTATGCGTTAGAGAGAATTCGATCAACTATGACGCACTGAAAAAAGGGTTTGGGACGGACCGTATAACCCTGTTAACAGCTGCTTAAAAAATACTTGCAAATATTCTCTATGAAAAGCTACAAGTTTACACATTGGACATAGTTGGAAAATACCAGCATCACTTAAAAAAAAACAATTGACAAGATTCATTCGATAAGACATCGTCAAGCAAACAGAATTTTATATTGAAACATCACCAATTCGTCGACTCCAAGGTACAGTACTATACCAACTAATGCGTGAGTTTGGTATACCAGACAAACTTAACTCCGATTAACAAGAATAACAATGTCTAACTTGAAAGCCAGTGTTAGGATACATGGAGAGAATTCTAGAACTTTTGAGACAAGGGATGAACTCAGACAAGGTAATGCTCTGGCTTGCCTACTATTTAATATTGATTTGGAAAAGGCCCTCCGTGAAAAACGAATTACGAATTAGAGAGGCGGTACTATTTACAATAGATCAATACAAATCTTAGCATATGCAGATGGCATTGACATAATAGGGCGTATCAAGCGGGATGTTGAGCAATATTTATTAGAATTGGAAACGGTGGCGAAACAGGTCGGTCTAGTTATCAACGAAGACAAAACCAAGTACATGGTTAATAAGGATCCTATAGAAAATGAGGAACGAGAAACAGTCTGTGGAAGTTATATGAAAGAAGAATTAAAATTATTATATAAAAAATACTACTGTATCCTCACATATGGGAGAAAAATGTGGACTATAAAGCAGAAGAACGAAAGACTTTTGGGAGTATTCGAGCGTGAAATACTTTGTAAAATATTTGGAGCTATAATTTGCACAAAGGGCAGTGGCGCAAAATATATAATTTCGAATTATACCAACTCTTTAATGAATTAGACGGTAACGTACGTTAAAACACAGCACTTATATGGGCTGGACACATAATACGAATGCTAGACATGTTTGCTAAAAAGCTAACCACAATAACACCTATAGGAAGAAGAACGGAGGTCGACCGCGAATTATGTGGTTAGATCGATTTGAAACAACCGACTTAGAGATATTAAAAATCAGATGGTAACAGGTCCAAAGAAACCGAACAGAATGGGACATAAGGAATTGCCGAGCCAAAGATGATGATGATGACAACCATTTGCAAATAATAATGACACATTTATAAATAATACATATGTTTGAAATAAATTAACGAATATTGAATTTAATTCATAATAACATAATTTATGTTATAGAATAACATACATATAAAATCGGAGTTTGATGTTAATATTAAGAGTAAACTAAATGTAGGACCAAATAATGTCGGAATAGTATCATAAAGTTTTTTTCCTGGGTTTTTCCTCATAATTTACTATGGGATTTACATGCTATGACTTTTGGACGGTTATTCATAAGTTAAAGTTGATTTCATGTAATCAAATGAAATATCTTACAATACAGTCGTCCCTGAAATACAACTGAAAAATATTGACGGTAAATTCATCTACTTTAAAATGTATAATATATGTCTGAATTGTCCATTGAGTCAGATAAAATTAAATTATTAGCAGAATGTTTTTACTAATTAATAAAAGTGAAAGTGGGGTTTATTTGCAATAAAAATAGTAAATTGTATCAAGATGTCACAAGAAAATAGCTTCAGAAGAGTATTATTTTTTTATTATAGGCCCATTACCAGTAAATGATACGGTCTATATTTTTATGAGATCAATAATTTTGTAATTATTAAAGAACAAATAGACGAATATTATTTATTCTTATACCACCACAGTGTTTTATTTTTTTAATATTGATATAGGTTGTGTTAAGTTTGGCAGTCGCTATGAAAGAATTGGTTGAAAACTCCCTTGATGCAGGTGCCACTATTATAGATATAAATTTAAAAGAATATGGCTCTGAATTACTTGAAGTAATCGACAATGCCAGCGGAGTTAAGGCTGAAAACTTTGAAACATTAAGTAAGTAAAATAGTTTTTAATTTTCTAATAAATTGCCTTAATTTTTAATCCAATCTTGAATTTAGTTGAAAAAACACTTTCGAAAACAAAATTACTTTTTTATTCACACAACTTATTTTTACCGTTCAAATTCACCGGCATGCAATCTCTTTTGAGCTTCAGATATTATTCTTTTCACGAACAGAAACAAACTGACTTTTCGCCGCTTTCAAAATTCCATCAAACATCCTACCATTCTCTTTTTCCAACGAATCATATTTTAGTATTTCAAACACACTAATAAAATTCCAAACCCCTTCTGTGGCTCAGTGGTAAGAGCACCTACCTTTGAACCTAAAGGTCGTGAGTTCGAATCTCACCTGGGTTGAGAAATTTTCGTTTATTAAAAATTTATATATATATATTTAAAATAAAAAAACGGTAAGCTGCCATGTAAATCAATACGCCCAAATTTGATTATCTTAGAACGCTGTTCAAATGCTAAAATGACAACAGGTCAAATAAAACCAATAAGTTTAGCAACTTTGAACTTCTCCCAAATACTATAGACTATAATACATACAACTCTTGACATTTCCCATTAGTTTTGTGGCAGCAAACAAAATAGCGCCATCTCATGGTATGAGTTGATAACTACAAACTTATGCATTTAATTGCCTGTTATTTAATAAGTGTAATTTATTAGTTTATTTATAGATTAAATCAAAATACAAATTTAATTGTGAGTTATTTTCTTTAATTTGATATTTTTACATTTTAATTTATATAATTTTTTCTTATTACTGTCGTTAATTTTATTTACATAAGCTTTTATTAACACATTAAAATATTTATCTATAAAAGTCTTGTAACAATTTGTACATACATTTTGGAGAGTTTCTTGAAAGTCACATTTTAATTTCAATTTATATTTAACATTTTCAACGCTTTCTTTTATATAATTTTGAAAATACCTTTTAAATATTTCATTAATTTTATCTGAAGCTCCCTTGGCTTCATCATTTGGAAATTTAAAATTAGATGATTTCTCATATTTTTTTAACTCTATTAAGGTATTTTCTAAAGAATAATTATTCATAGAGTTACATACTGCATTTCTACATTGTTCGTGAGGCAATTGACTGCAAACTCATCCTAACACATAAGTCTCAGAATTTTTTTCGATCATATCGTAATTGTCATTACTTATGTCGTTTTCGGTGCAATGCTCGATAGGATTATTAAGCAATACTTTAATTGGGTTTTTGAGCATTTCATATTTTTGAATTAAAAATGAACAAGCATCAATGTCGCTGTTGCTGTCCGCTGATGGTTGCAGTAACTGATTTGCCATGACAGATCGCAAGTTGCACCTAAATTTCACACTGTCAGGTGTATTATTATTAAAACCCTTAGCCCTAATAATAGAAAATAAATTTTTTATTTAGTCTTGGGTTAGCCTTTTTGTAAAAAGAAATTGAAACCCATAATTGCTCTTTAAATCAGTCCAAAGTAACTTCAGAGAATTAATATTTGATATCCATCCATTGATACATGTTGGATTAACTCTTCTTCTGTTCAATTCTCTGATATTACTTAGAAATTCTTTTAAATCGTCCAATTTATCAATATGATAATGATTTTTTATTGAAATTGGCTTTCTGAATTTCTTGTCATTATATTTTGAAGAATTAAAAATGTCAAATAAAGTGTCCACTTTCTCAATAAAGTTAGCTGTGTATGCTGCACTCGCTGGTAATTTATTTAATGTAACATGACATAGCATCCCTATTTTAGCGAGATTAGCTAATAATACAAAAATTAGAAAAATAAAATTTGTATGTTTATGTTGACAAAACGTAGTTATCAACTCAAGCCGCTGTGGCGCTAGAAGCAACGTGCTGCCAGTTTTGTGTCGGAGTTGGATGTATTATAGTCTATAGTATTTGCTTCTCCCCTTTTCTTAGTTCCACGAATGGTATTTCGACGATATAAAGGGCGGACCTAATATATCTCTTTCTTTTTAAATAGGTGTTTCTCACTCAATCTCACGTAACGTACATACCGACCATAAACTTTTACCTACACTGTATGTATATCGCATGCGGCGATAGTAGCACATTTCGAAAGCTTCTAATGATTTAGATGTTATGTTGTTATGTTATTGTTCAAGTGCACATTACATAAGGTCTGCCTAGGGCGGTTGAAGATAACTCTTATCTTTTCGATGCGACATCGAATCTCTTGTGGGTGATCCCATTCTTTATTTAAACTGCATCCTAGATATATGTAACTTTGTTGACTGTGTAAACAGTTTTCATTATTAATCCACAAGGAATCTACGTTCCTGTAGCTGTCTGTATACCATATATAAAAAAAAATTATTAAAAATCGTTTGTAAAAGGTATATATTTAAGAACTCAAACGGGCTAAGTTAGACAGACAAAACGTTTTTGGAATCCATATTCCATCATCAGTGTCCTAGAAAATATGTAACCACTTAATTAAAAAGAACATAGGTTTAAAATTTTGACTACGGTTAATACAAAGTGTGGTTAATACTTACTAGGAGTACATGAATGTAGCCACTAAATATATGGGTAAAAACCCGTTAACAAATCATTAATTACATTTACTTTACAAAATTTCTTATAATGATTTAAGATGTTAAAGTTACTGTTGGATTAGGTAACATGGCGACATATGACTCCACGTTGAAGTTGCTAGTCCTGAGATGGTATGTCTACGGGGACTGTATGGGAGCAACTGAATGGCAATGACATTTAATGACAATGTTAAGTTATGACGGAAGTTGTAACAGAGCAGTCAATATAACTGTATGTTTCTACTTAAGACAAAAGCCAACGTTATTTAACATTGTGAAAATAAAATAAATTAATATAACAGTATCAACCATCAATGTTGTTGTTTTAAATTTATGTATATATGCGATGAGAAGTGGAAAGAAAAAATATGTGGTTGTAGGTAGGCAACCAACTAAACATGTGTGCAGTAATGTAGTGAAAAAAGGTTTTAGTATAAGGCCCTTTATGTTTCTCAAACATTTGGTATTTTTTTTTATACCCAGAAAGGAGAAACTAGACTCATGTGGGAGGTTGAGTTCTAGAAATTTTATTGTTAATGGTCAGATATGAATGTATTTATTTAAAAATGAAAGTGTTCTTGAATGAATAAAATGAAACTTTTGTAGTATAATGTTCACGTGATATTTAACTTATAACTCAATTATAGAGGTCCTGTATGTCAAAAAACATTTGGTACCTGGTAAATGTGAAACTTTTAAGTTATAAGTTCATGAACATAAATATCTGAATAGGTGGTAACGGACTAAATGGTGTGGAAGTTTTATTGTATTAACTATTATATGAAATGAACAAAAATATTTTTTTTTGATGATTGTTCATTTCATATAATAGTTAATACAATAAAACTTCCACACCATTTGGTCCGTTACCACCTATTCAGATATTTATGTTCACGAACTTATAACTTAAAAGTTTCACATTTACCAGGTACCAAATGTTGTTTTTTGACATACAGGGCCTCTATAATATATTATATTATATATAATATATTATATTATATTGAGTTATAAGTTAAATATCACGTAAACATTATACTACAAAAGTTTTATTTTATTCATTCAAGAACACTTTCATTTTTAAATTAAATACATTCATATTTAACCATTAACAATAAAATTTCTAGAACTCAACCTCCCACATGTGTCTAGTTTCTACTTTCTGGGTACCAAATGTTTGAAAAACATAAAGGGCCTTATACTAAAACCTTTTTTTACTACATTACTGCACACATGTTTAGTTGGTTGCCTACCTACAACCACATAATTTTTCTTTCCACTTCTCATCTTATATACATAAATTTAAAACAACAACATTGATGGTTGATACTGTTATATTAATTTATTTTATTTTTACAATTTTAAATAACGTTGGCTTTTGTCTTAAGTAGAAACATACAGTTATATTGACTGCTGTTACAACTTCCGTCATAACTCAACATTGTCATTAAATGTCATTGCCATTCAGTTGCTCCCATACAGTCCTCGTAGACACACCGTCTCCGGACTAGCAACTTCAACGTGGAGTCATATGTCGCCATGCTACCTAATCCAACGGTAACTTTAACATCTTAAATCATTATAAGAAATTTTGTAAACTAAATGTAATTAATTATTTGTTAACGGGTTTTTAACCCATATATTTAGTGGCTACATTAACCACACTTTGTATTAACCTTAGTCAAAATTTTAATCCTATGTTCTTTTTAATTAAGTGGTTACATATTTTCTAGGACACTGATGATGGAATATGGATTCCGAAAACGTTTTGTCTGTCTAACTTAGCCCGTTTGGGTTCTTAAATATATACCTTTTACAAAGGATTTTTAATAAAGTTTCATTATTCATCCCAAATTCATTCTCTTTTCGACCAGATAACTTCCATAACTCTATCTGTTAGTGTCTCCATATTGTCAGAATTATCAGCCAACACCCGCAATGTATCACCCGCATATCGTAAGTTGTTAATGCTTTTGCATTCGTCAGTTTTTAAATTAAACGTAACAACTGTGTTCCTTAAGTTTTCTGTATATGCTAAAATGAATCAGACCAGGAGCTCTGAAGCTCTGATTGGAACATCTGATGGCACCTTTTTCTTAGGAAGAGGAATGAAGATGGAAAATAACCAGTCTCTAAACAATTCATCGGTTTCGTACGTTTTACTAAGTAGACTTATTAAAAAGTTTGAGTCTGAATGTTATCTGGAACTAGTGCTTTATTGTTTTTAAGTCGTTTGATTGCATGTGTTACCTTGCTATTTTTACAGTTATTTTTGATCCCGGTCATCCAACAACATAGCTTTCTATCTGTTGGTTTTCTTCGAATAATTCTTCCATGTATTCCTTCTATTTTCCAAGTGTTCTTCCATTTTCTCCAAGCAATTTATTGTGTTTATTCATTTGTCTTGTACATATTGAGTTATTTATTCGCGAGTTGTTTCCTCCTATTAAGGGCTTGATTTTCTTGTAGATTAAAAGTGTTTTGTACCTCTTCCAGCTTTATCTTTTGGTAAATGATTCTATTTACTTCTTCTACTGTCGTTCGTATATTTTTATATATTTTCTTCCATTATTTCTAATATTTCTTATGTCATCCGCGTTATTTTCCCTGTTTTTAGCTAACGGTCTGCTACTGAATTACGTACTTTTTTTATTTTATTCCCTATATTCTGCTGCACTATGTCATGTTTTCAGTTGAATCGCGGGTGCTTGTTTTGTTAAACCTTCACACCTATCCTACACCTAATCACCGTTTCGGTCAAAACAAAAGACAAGATGGAATTTAAAAAATAATTCTAAAAAAAATAAAGAGAATTACTGTCTTAATACTCAAATTATTATTTATAAAAAAAATATTTCATCAGGTGATTCCTTAATTTTTAATTTCGGTAATTTTCAGTTTGCGTTTTTCTAAATTTTGAGCTCTTTCGTGAAGGCCACTATAAAATTTTTTAGCGACATATCAATACAGAAAAAAATCATATGGAAATAAAACGGCAAAAGAAGGTGACCATTTAATCGTTTCGTTTTTTGGTATTATCCGTCGATGAATATTTTTATTAAGATATAAATGTTTAACAAGTGTTTAATGGTTAAATTTCTGTTGCAGCCTTAAAACATTATACTTCAAAAATACGCGAGTTCGATGATTTACAATCATTAGAGACACTTGGTTTTAGAGGGGAAGCATTAAGTTCCCTGTGTGCATTATCTGATTTGGTGATTATCACCAGGCACGAATTATCTCAATGTGGAACCAAAATTGTATATGATAGAAATGGCAAAATAGTTGAGCAAACACCACTAGCCAGAGGAAAAGGTACTACTGTTACATTAACTAAACTGTTTTCAACGTTACCAGTTAGACGTAAGGAGTTAATGAAGAACTTAAAAAAGGAATTTAATAAAATGTGTCAAATGTTATATGCATATTGTTTGGTATCCAAAGGTGTTAAGTAAGTTAATAAATGATGTAATTTATATTGGCCCATATAAAGTAGAACCCAGTAGAACAGTAGTTAAAAAGTTCAGTTTCATACATCATGTTTCCATATTTTAGATTTTATTTCTATCCATATGCTTTACTATTCTTTATATTAGGATAAATCAATGTATTTCGTGAATAGGTATACTTGGGTATACATGTAACCACATTTGAGCCTCCTCGATAGTATCGCTTGCAAAATCAATATATGTATGTCATCGGCAAAGTTTAAAATATTAATATTTTCATTATTTTTTACAATGTCTATTGCTAAGATGACTATTGCATTCACGTAAAAAATAATAAAAGGCAAATAGTACTACCTTGTGAAATACCTGTTAAGCAAGATTTTATCTAATGGGATTAAGCTATATATGAAACATAATAGAAATAACAAGCAAAAACCATAGAAAAACAAAAAAGCAGTGGTTCGACCAGGAGTGTGAACAAAACTTAAAACAGAAAACCAATAAAAGCTTAGACTTTCTAACACAAGACCTACAGAAGAGACACGGAAGACTACAATAGAATTAATGCGAATTTTTTTTCTAAAACATCATAAAGCTCCTATCCTAGACACTCAGGCGGCATTACTTCGAAAAGGGAAAATTTAATCTGGGAATATATCATAAGCGAAGTCTGGCAAAGAGAGGAAATGCCGAAATACTGGTATGAAATCCATATAAGAGGGTTGTGTTTTTAGTTTTGCATATAGCCGTACTTACGAGTACTTTATCGCTTTTCAAAATATTTCCTACCAAGATCGATACACTTTTGCATAAGTTCAAACCAATTGGTAAAACAGTTATTACAGTCTTCAGTTGACACCTGCAAAATCGCTATTTTAAAGGCATCGATGGCTCTTTTCGGTGACTGGAATCGCTTCCCACACATTTAATTCTTGATCTTTAAAACGTGAAGAAGTCGTTGGGGCAGAGCACTTGCAATGTCCTGATGTACGATGATTCGCCATTATGTGTTGCTTTGTCGGAGTTTCGCGATAACAAACGGTTATATACCTATCAGAAGTTCCGTTCTTCGATCTTCTACCACATGACCAGATTTTGACACAAACATTGCTACACTTTTTCTGCATTTTCATTTTCACTTTGCATTTTCTTTGACACACTTCGAGAATGGATCACTTTTGATGGTTTTTCGTCAACATGAAATACCCACACAGTGGATTAGCGTTGTTCGATGGAGTAACTCCAAGACTCATGGCCACTAACAATATTATAAATGTTTTTTGAGCTTCCTTTGTTGAACCGGTATCATGTTTTTCGACACCAATTGACGCGAACCGCTTTTTGCTCTTCTGTGAGCAAATGAGGGATCCAACGGAAAACCAACTTCGTAACACCCAGTTCTTCATGTAGGATCTTTTGGATCGAGGACCTTGAAAAGCCCAAAGATGCCTCTATCTCCCGGTATGTTACACGGCGGTCATCCTTAATTAGTTGACGAGTTGCATCAAGGTTTTGCTGAGTGACTGCTGTTTTGGGAGGACCCGGGCCTAGATTCGTCGCTGAGATTCGAGAATGACCAGATTTGACGTTGAAATTCTCAATATCAGCGGAAATAGTTGTCTGATATGAGGCTTCATTCCCAAAAACAGAAACCATTTTAACGAGATATTGTTGTTGGGATAATCCTCTCCGAAAATTGTAAAAAATTATTGCTCAAAAATGCTCTCGGCTAAGATCCATTTTTCAACCAACTTGCTAATTGCAAAAATTCACTGTATCTACATGACTTGTTGTATTGCAATGAAACTCTCGATTTCTGTCAACAAAATATTGAGGTTACGTTTGTGTCTAGTGTCTAGAAAGATTTATTGGTGGCGCCCTCTAAGCGGCTATATGAAAAACTACAACAAACAATTAACGCCAACGTGGGTAAGGAAGAAGAACGGGGCACACTATTCCCTAGCAACGGTGATTAAATCAAGAATAGTCTCAGGAGGAGCAAAAATAAGAGTGCAAAATAATAATTTGCTCCTCGATAACGTATGAAAGTGAGACATGGACGCTGAACCAGCGTCAAGCAACAAAATTTCTGATAGTGGAACGAAAGATACTAGATAGATAAAGGACTATCTTTGGGTCTTGTAGATGAGACAACAGGGAAGTAAAGTAGATAACCGGAAAATCCAGAGACTCCAGGGAGATTAAAAGATAATAAGCTACATTAAGACAAACTGAATAGATAGGCGGGACATGTACTAAGATCGAGTGATAAAAAATTCTTCGATCTTTTGGGAAATTCCCGATGGTAGAAGGTCAGTTGGTTGCCCAAGGAAAAGATGGAAAGATCCACTATTCTTCTTCTTAGGGTGCCTGTCCATTCGGAACGTTGGCGATCATTCTGGCTATGATGCCTTTGTTAGTTGCTATACGAAATAGCTGTATTAAGGTCTTTCTATACCATGCTCTTAGGTTAGCAAGCCAGGATATTCTTCTTCGTCCTGGGACCCTTTTTCCTTCAATTTTAGATTGTAAAATGCATTGAAGTAGCTCGTATCTGCCTTGATTTCTCATTATATGGCCCAAGTACTGCAGCTTACGGCCCTTCACGATGTTGACCAAATCCGCAGTTGTGTTCATTCTCCGTAGTACTTCTTCATTGGTGACTCTGTCCATGGTATCTTCAAGATCCTTTTGTATGACCATAACTCAAAAGCCTGAAGTTTTGATAGATTTTCTGTCTTTAATGTCCACGTTTCTACTCCGTACAGAAGCACTGAGTGCACATAACTTTTAAGGAGCCTTATTTTTGTTTCTAGGGTGAGGTCATGGCTCTTGAACACAGAACTCATAGTCAAGAATGCACTCTTTGCCTTTCCGATGCGACATTTAATCTCTTGGGTATTGTCCCACGACCCATTGATTATAGTTCCCAAGTAATTATATGTATATATATATAATATATATATATATATATATATATATATATTATATATATATATATATATTATATATATATATATATATATAGGAAAAGAAGTCTTTGCTGACAACGTTAGAAAACGGAGTTTTGAGGTTTATTGGGATTTATTCAGCGTTGAAATAAGTGTACTCTTTTAACTAAGTTTCAAGCTTTCGAAAATGTTTATTTTCGTTAACTTAGTTAAAAGAGTACACTTATTTCACCGCTGAATAAATCCCAATAAACCTCCAAGCTCCGTTATATATATATATATATATATATATATATATATATATATATATATATGTAAATGTAATAATACTTCCTAAGTAAATCCTAAACTTTCCTAAGAAAATGGCCGACGTAAATCCTAATGGTAAAAAAAGGCGTCACCATCAGAGTAATTTTAAAGTAAATGTTTGGGCTTCAATTGTAGGTAATTATTTTATAGGGCCAGTATTTCTTCCTAATAATTTAAACGGAAAAAATTATTGTTATAAAACGATATGTCTCTCAACTTTGAAGAGGTCCTTTAGCGATCAGACAAAGTATGTGATTTTAGCAAGATAGTGCTCCACCCCATTACAGCGACAAGGTTAGGATATTTTTATTTCAAAAGTATCCAGTAGGTACGTTGAATAGAAAGGGGCCTGATGCACCAATTGGATTGGCACCTCGCGGTCCAGATCTTAATCCAATGGTTTTTGCTTTTGGGGATTTATTAAAGATTATGTTTATTCTGTGCGAATAATTACTGCAGTACAATTAGGTAATCGAATTTTAGAAGTTACTAATATATTTCGACAGAGACATTTACTTTTTCTAAATATTCGGTCTTATTATACAAAAACGTTAAGGGGGGAAAGATTTAGTGGCCCCCTCTAAAGGGGCATGCTTTTATTGGGCATGACATGCATAATATAATTATTTTTTGAACAATATTAAAAAATTCGGTTGTATTTTAACTTTTTTTTCATCCCTAAAATCGAAGTTTATTATGTATTTATTTAGTATATCATTAATCTATTACCAATTTTTTGTGACACCTTGTATATCTAACGCCCTATCGATAAAAACTTCATATTAGCTTTTTTTTCAGATTCACGTGTACAAATACTCTCACTTCTGGTTCAAAGAATACGGTTGTAGCTACCGATGGCAAAGATACAATTCGAGACAATATTATTAACGTTTTTGGTTCCAAACAGATATCGTCATTAATAGACGTAGCACTGGTTCTTCCAACAGAGGAAATTCTAACAGAATTTGGAGTAAAACAATTTTTAGACGAACCTTTACCGTTTGATTTGGAGTTTTTGATTTCTAGCGTTATCCACGGCTCTGGTAGAAGTGCTAATGATCGACAATTTTATTATATCAATTCCAGACCTTGTGAGCCTTCTAAAATTATGAAGTTAGTTAATGAAGTATATAAATCTTACAATTCTCATCAGTATCCGTTTGTTTATTTGAATATTTCTACAAAGTCAGTATTTGTGGATGTCAACATAACTCCAGATAAAAGACAAGTATTTTTAGAAAACGAGAAACTTCTATTAGCTGCAATAAAGTCTTCCTTATTGGCAGTTTGTAAACAGTTTCCTTCTACGTATAAAATGCAAAATTTAAATCTTTCTGCATTTACACCAGTAGATAAGGGTGTCAAGAGAAGTCTGACTGATAGTTCGATAAAACAAGGAAGTATTACAGAACGTTTTAAAAAACGATCAAAGACTGACGAAAGCTCCGAAAAATCTAAAGTTTCAATAAAAGATTTTACTGCCAAGCCCAAAGATAAAGAAAGTATAAGTAACGGTATGGGTTTTAAAGTAGAAAAGAATATTTTAGACGAATCTCAAGAGAAGTTGGACGAACTTATTGGAATCGCGTGTAAACTTGCCAAAGAAGAAAAAAATGATGAGAGTGATCACAGTTCAAACTTTAGTGATTGTATAGTAGACAATATCGTAATAAGTCTTGATCAACCGGTGAATAGAATTCAAAGAAGGTCTAAAATATTTAATATAACTTTGGATGAAATAAAAAAATGCAAAGAAGTACCTGATCATACTTCAAAAAAAAGTATTAAAGTTAAATTCAGATCTGAAATTAAATCTGAACAGAACAAAAGTGCAGAAGAAGAACTGCAGAAACAAATTAGTAAGTCAGATTTTAGAGATATGGTTATAATAGGTCAATTTAACAAAGGTTTTATAATCACTAAATTAAACGATGATTTGTTCATTATTGATCAACATGCTACCGATGAGAAATACAATTACGAACAACTGCAGCTAAATACCGTAATAGATTCGCAAATACTTGTGAAGTAAGTATTAATTTGTATTTTAAGTTGGTAATGTCGACTTTACACTACATGATTTTATCATATGACAATATCATATGAGATTTGTTATGATTCCTCGTTTCTATGACGTTTTAAAAAATCATATTTACACTGAATGATAAGTTATGACTTATGATGTGAGTGACGATGAGGTTTTATTGATTTTTCTTTTTGTTTATGGTCATAGAGATATTAGACACAGTATAGGTAACAACTATTCGATTTTTAAACTATTATAATGGAAAATAAATCTTTTCTTGCATTGGCTCCGAACAAAAACGATGAGACGCCTTTCGGCTGGCAGGTGGCTCCTACGAAGAAATAGTGGACGAAGTATATCAAATTTAGTGTTGATATTATACCAAATTAAAAATAATTAATAAAGAAACTAAACTAAAATTATGACTAAGATGACTATAAAACACTAAACTAAGAATAAAATATACTAAATAAAAAAAGAAAAATACGACACAATAGCACAGGTTAGACCATAGCGTGCCATAGCCTCAATATCAATGCAACAAACAAAAAATAAATAAATAAAGGATGCTGTCTCTCGGTAAGTGAATGTCGCTGAATTGACATAAGAATAAGGCGCGATATTTAAATATGTTGGTGTTACCGGTATTACCACCGAAAATCATATGATTTTATCATGCGGAATAGGTACCATCCTATTCTCCTGTGACAAGCTGTGACGAGCCGCATGACAGTGCTTATGACAAAATCATATGACAAATCACACAGTGTAAACATGGAAATTTGACTTTATGACCAAATCATATGACAAATCACATGATAAATCATGTAGTGTAAAGTCGACATAAAGTATATAAAAGAATTATGCAGAGTAATAAATCAAATCACGAGAATAATAAAGTTTGTGCATATGTCACTCAGATACGCTGGAGTTCAAGCTACCCTAGGTACGTTGCTACGGCAACGATTTTGGATAATCAGCAGTTTAAATGTGATCAAGAAGGTTATTCACATATATCTCATTTGCCATAGATTTAGAGCAAAATTTTCTACTCAAAAGATGGCCAATATCACAAAGACCCCAGTTCAAATCTGTACACCATTTTTTAAAGTCAGTATTGACTTAATTTTATGCTTTCCGTATCCAACATTAGATCTTCTATTTCACTGTTTTCTACCACCAAATATTCAGACTTATGTTCATGGTAAGACCTGTGGCTTCGTATTATATCAGTTTTCTATAATTAATTATCACACAATTTAAATCATCCTCATCTCCTGAAATTATGATTTGGTCATCGACAAAGAATCAAAGGAAAAGCATGTCCTCCCCTATTCTCAGTTCCATGTTTCTGCAGTTTTTAACCCATTGGATTAAAGCGCATTTATGTATAATAGGCGCATTGGGTACACTGTTATGTGCTTTTGCAAGATCTATTAACTGTGTACATGTGTTTCTCTATTCTGCTGTAACCTTTTCCCAATGCAATTTTTAGTATAAGTATATTATCTATAGTAGACCTCCCTGTGCCAAATCCTGCTTATTCTTCGAATTGTTTATTTCTAGTCTCTTCCTAGATATTTATTTTTACGCACAACAGGCCGTTAAGGTCTAGGGCATTTTTTTACAACATAATCCTAATATTAACAAATTACAATTATTTTAAACAAAACTTTAACTTAATAATATGTATATACAACATTCTTAACTACTCTGAAGGACCTGGTGTACAACATTTCTCCATTCGCTTCTATTTTGTGCTTTTCTTTTCCAGTCCCTCACCTTCACGTGTTTAAGGTCTTCCTCCACTTTACTAATCCACCTCGTTCTGGGTCTACCTCTTCTTTTAGGGCCGATTAATTTTCTGGTTATTGCTAGTTTAGGCATTCTGTTTGCTGCCATTCTTTTCACATGTCCCAACCATCTGATTTTTTGTGCCTTGACGAACTTGGTAATGGTAAGTTCTTTGTATAAAGCCATTAATTCATTGTTGGCTCTTCTCTCCCAACCATCTTCTGTCTTCCGTCCTCCGAATATGCGTCTCAATATTTTCCTTTCCTATCTTTCCAGAGTATCCTCTTCCTTCTTATTTAATGTCCATGTCTCACCGGCATATGTTACTGTGGGTCGAATTACTGTTTTATATATTCTGAGTTTACATTGTCTAGAAACGTATTTTGAGTTCAGTAGGGCTCTTAAACTACCTAATTTTTTATTCCCTTTTGCTATTCTGGCTTCGAGCTCCCATTTCTCTTTTCCGTTTTCATCGAAAACTACACCCAGGTATTCAAATTTGTCCACCCTTTTAAAACTTTTTTCCTTTTATCACTTACAGACCTCACACTAAAGTCTTCTTTTTTCCCTTCTGTCCCTCCCATGATCATATATTTGGTTTTATCTTCATTTAGTCCCAATCCGAATTTCTGTGCTTCTTCGATGATTTTCTTCACAACTCTTCTTAATTCTTTCTCGGTTTTTGCTAGAATCGTTAGATCGTCAGCAAATGCCAAGCACTGGTGCTCATTTTTCATTTGCATTTTTGATTGCAGTTTCTAACACTAAGTTGAATAATGTAGTGGATAAAGGCCCTGTCTTAAGCCTTTTGCAACCGTAAATTGATCTGATATGTGGCCCTGCCAAGCAATTTCACACGTAGAGTTATTTAGTGTCATTTTAACTAGCCGGATCAGTTTCTTTGGTATATCCAAATGCTCCATTGCTCGATACATTTTGACTTTATCGACTCATATCATATGCTTGTCTAAAATCCACAAACAAAACATGCAGGGGAACTTTACCTTCATAACAAGTCGTTTGTATCTCCTTTAATGAGAAGATTTTGTCTACAGTATTGCTGTCCCCAGCTCCTCCTCTGTAGGCTGCCTTTCAACTATCGCATGTTCTCCGACCGTCCAGTTGTCTACTGTTTCGTGGTCCACCTCACCATTTAATAATTCTTCAAAATTTTTTTTCCGTTCTTTCATTATTTCTGCCGGATCGCTAATTAAATTTCCGTCTTTACCTTTCATATACCTACAGTGGCTTTGGTAACCTTTTCCCATCTTTTTAACTTCTTGATAGAACGACCTCACCTCTTTGTTTTTAAACTTCTCTTCTATCTCTTTTAATTTCAACTCATTGTGGTATCTCTTTTTCCTTCTACACAGAGCTTTCAATCTTCCTCGAATCATTCTATATTCTTGTTTTTTACACTCTCTATTATCTGTTAATATTTGTTGTCTGATCTTCTTTTCTTTTGCTATCGCCTAACACTCTTCGTCAAACCAATCTTTGTACATCTCTTGGAGTCACACTTAACTATTTTCTCGCTAGCTTCTCCTACGGCAGATTTGATTTATTTCCAGACTTGATCTGTCTGTAAATTTTGGTCACATTGTTGTAGAATGTTATTTATTTCTTCTTCATATTTATTTTTTATTTCTACTTCCTTAAGTTTTTCAATATTGTACTTTCTCTTCGTTTTATTGTTCGATTTCTCTTTTTCTTCTAGCCTCCTCCCACATGTGACTTTAACGAGGTAATGGTCCGAGTCGATTTCAGCTCCTCTCATACTTCTTACCTTCTAAACGATATTCATATATTTACTTTCGATCATAACATGATCTATTTGATTCAGCGTTCTTCCATCTGGGGAGACCCACGTTCCTTTGTATATCTCTTTTCGTTTTAGTTGTGTGCTTCTCACCACCATGTTTTTCTCCATAGCAAATTCAATAAATCTTTGACCATTATCGTTTGTTACGTCTTTTTTACTGTAGTTCTCAGTTACTGCAGTGTACAGAGGTTCTTTTTTTTCACTTTAGCATTACAATCTCCTATTATTATTTTTACATCACGTTTAGGTAGACGCTCGTATTCATCATTTAGCTGTTCATAGTAAAGATCTTTTATTTCGTCGTCCTTGTCTTCTGACGGTGCATGAATATTGATTATACTCCAATTCCTTTTCTTACTTTTAATTCGTATTGAACACATCCTATCAGAGATAGTATTAAAAGCTATCACTTTATCCTTGATACATTCAGCTAGTAAAAAACCAGTTCCAAGCTTCTATCTTTACCTCCACTTTTTGAAGAGCACCATAGCTTCTATATCAGTTATTTCAGTTGTACTGGAATCAAACTGCTATCGTAAAAATTGGAGATAACTACACCGATGAAATCCCCATACAACGAGGAGTCAGATAAGGTTGCATTTTGTCGCCAACATTGTTAAATGTTTACTCGGACCAGTTATTTAAAAAGGCACTTGAGAGACAACCATATGGAATAAAAATCAACGGGGAACTACTTAATGTGATTAGATATGCAGACGATAGAGTAATTCTATCAGATAATATTGAAAGTCTTCAAATTCTGCTTGATCGTATTCATGAGGTAGGAGAGGAAATGGGCATTAAAATAAACTCAAACAAAACCAAATTTTTGGTGTTTAGTCGTGACCCATATCCCGGTGCAAAGTTTCAATTGAACGGAGTCCAAGTTGAGAGAATTCACAAAATGACATATTTGGGAACTGTGATAACGGACCAACTAGATACAGACATAGAAATTAGACGTAGAATAGCAATGACTAAAACTACTTTTATGAAAATGAAGTCATTTCTTTGCAATAACCATCTCAGTTTAGAACTAAGGCAAAGAATGGTTAAGTTTTTAATTTTTTAAGTTTTTAAGATTTACAACTGATCCTCAAAGGCAAAATAGAGAGCCGTAGAGGTGTAGGAAGAAAACAAGTTTCTTGGTTAAAAAACATTCGTGAATGGACTCAGATACCAAATGCAGGACAATTATTCCATATTGCAGAAGATCGAGAAGCCTTCGCAATTGTGATTGCCAACGTCGGATAAATCTGATATGGCATGCGAAGAAGAAGAAGTTCTAATCCTTTTCTTCGCATTGTTCGTCTTTATTACTTTCCTTTTCATGCTGTTGCTTAGTTTTTTGCTTTGGTCTCTACCACCAACGTTTGGTTCATGCCATCCCAGCGCCATATTTCCTGATCGGAATATATTTTCTTATATCCTACTTTCACTTTTCTCCCTTCTTTTCTTAGTTCTTGCGCTTTCTGTCTGACATATTTCTGTACAATTCTGTCCTTCTTTGACAGGTCATCATTGATATAAACTAGACTTTTTCTTCGGTTTCTTAATTTGCATTTGTTTTGCATGACTTTTCTTTTGTCCTCTTCCTTTTCAAGCTCAACCAGACAGACTTCTTCTTCCAACTCTTCCTAGATAAATTCCTTCAAAATTATAGAAAAATTCTTTCTACCGTGGATATTGCCGCTATGGACCTTTAGTTATTTGGGCAGGGTTTTGCAGATATTATTTTCGTGGATATAGGCGAAATATAAAACGGTCTCCATGCTTCTGGAAAATGCTTAGCAGTGGATTTCATGTATAAAAAAAAAAACAGCAATTTTTCTTGAGGGACAAACATGAATAAATGTAGGATCATTTTTTTTTAAATACTGTTAAATAAGTAAGACGAAAATATCAAAAACGAAAAGCAGGTATTCTTGGAGGGTGGGTTTTCAGCTGGTCTGAATTTGCTATCGGGTAAATGAAAAATAACTAATATTGTGTACATTGGAGGTTCGGAAGGTTTATGGATTATGATTTTAAAATATACTGATGACGATCGCGAAGACATGAATGCGGATGTATTTCAGCAATGGTTTGCTCGGCTCTGATTCCGCAAGGAGCCTATCACTTTTACAGGCAATGCAAGTTATCATTATAGTTCATAAGTGAGTTGCCAGCAAGTAGTTGGCTTAAAGAACTTCTTGTAGTTCATTTCCAAAAATATAAACATACCACAAACATGTTTGGCCTAAACATAAACTGTTCAAAAACAAAACACATGGTGTTTAGCCCTTTAGCACATCAAGATGCACGATTATATGTTGATGGTCATATAATTCAAAGAGTGTCCAGTTTTAAATATCTTGGTTGCCATATTACTGAACAACTAGATCCAGATCAAGAGATAAAATGTAGAATCGAGATAGCCAGCACGACATTTTTAAAAATGAGGTCATCCTTCTGTAATGATAACTTGAAACTTCAACTTCGAAAGCGTATGGTTAAATGCTACATTTGGTCAGTCCTCTTATACGGTGTCGAAGCATGGACATTACAAATATCCACCATTAATCGTCTGGAGGCCTTTGAAATGTGGCTGCACAGACGTATACTAAAAATTCCATGGACGGCTATGCTGACAAATGTGGCAGTCCTTGAGAGAGCAAATGCTGCTCGCGAGCTGCTTGATAACATCAAATGTAGAAAGATGGCCTATTTTGGACACGTAGTAAGGGGAGACCGATATAATATTCTTCAACTTATTATGATGGGTAAAATCGAAGGACGCAGAGGAATTGGTAGAAAGCAGGCCTCTTGGTTGAAGAATATCAGAGAGTGGACAGGAATAAAGAAAGCTGAGCAACTCTTTAGAATAGCTCGAGACAGAGACAGTTTCGCCATGTTAATCGCCAACGTCAAGGGGACTTGATAGGGTACGTTAAGAAGAAGAATAAACATACCATAAGATCCTCTAAGAAAAGAGCTTGACAAGATTGCAATATTTCATATTAAGAAGCACAAGAATATATTTAAGATGCATATGAAAATCTCGCGTTTATGTAGTATATCGATACGTGCGTAGTACATCGATAACATTGTGAGCTTAATGCAATAGAATTGATTTGAGCTCGAGTTAAGGAGTGAATTTTCCCGGAAAACTATTACTTTTAAAATATTCAATAAGTTTCATAAGTCAATTTTCTTCGATTGGAAGAAAATGTATAACATATATTGCGTATGTTATCAAAGAAGTAAATTTGTGGAAAATTGGAGTTTAGTTGAACCTGTTATTATAAACATCGATTTTTCTACATCTAATTCACATTATAGTGTGGTAATGGCTCAAGTACACGGGGCAAGTTAACATACTAATAAACCGGCTTGTAAAAAGCAGACGAGTGCGCTAAAAGTCGAGTATAGAATAGAATAGAAATATAACAACAAATATGAAAATAAAAAAAATCAGTCAAATAGTACAAAAAGTATAAAACAAAAACAAATATAATAAAAAAACAGAACAATACAATTTTAAATTAGTAAAATTATTGTATAACTTACATAATTTGTACAGACAACAACAAATGAAATAAATTGTAGCTACTGCTTGAGACACCCAAATGTAATTATAAACAATACTAATTTTGTTTCTTTGTTATACATTAAAAAAACTCATCAACTGAATAAAATGGTCTTTCAGACAGATAGTTTTTTGTCATCTTACGAAACTTAATGAAATATGTTGCGGATTTAATTTCTCTTGAAAGGTGATTATATAGTTTTTTTTGCACTATATAGAATAGAATTCTTTACTAGCTGAGTGGACGGGATCGGTAAATAAACGTTACAATCCGAATTTCTAATGGAGTAGCCATGATCAGGTCTATCGGGAAAAATGTTTAGATGCTTGCGAATCAAACAAACCGTTTCCAAAATAAATAAAGAGGAAAGCGTCAAAATTCCGTGATTTTTGAAGTAGGTCTTGCAATGAGTTGTTTGTTTGAGACCAAATAGATAACGAATTGCTCTTTTTTGCAACTTAAAAATAGTATCAAATTGGGCCGCTGTACTAGAACCCCAAAATGGAAGCCCATATCGAAGATGGGACTCGAACAATGAGAAATATGCTATTTTGACAGAAGATAATTTCTTCCTTGAGGAGTCAGTATGCAAGGACCATTTAAGATCACTGTCGATAAGAATACCTAGAAATTTTACGGAATTAACGATACTGATTTGGCTCTCATTCAAAAGCAAGGGTTGAATGACTCCTTTATAAGATAATGCTACTGTCTTATCCACGTTAAAGCTAACTAAGTTGGAGTCTGACCAAGCCTTGATTATAAGCAAATCAGCGGTTATAATTGAATGAAGCGTTGAAATATTAGATTTGCTCCAAGTAATACTGGTGTCATCAGCAAATAGAAAAATTTTCCCTTTAATTTTCAAGTAAGTGATGTCATTATTGAAAAGTAAAAAAGAATGGGACCTAATACTGAACCTTGCGGTACTCCACACTCAATATCTTTACAACTAGAGTCGGTGTCTTTTATTCTAACCAATTGTTTCCTACCTACCACGTTAGTTTTGAACCAATTCAAAGACACACCCCGAATTCCATAGAAAGTTAATTTTTTTAATAGAATGTCGTGATTTACGCAGTCAAAGGCTTTGGAATAGTCACAGAAAACTGTAGCGGAGGAGAGGATACTATTTAGTGATAGATATACCTCATGTAACACAGAAAACATGGCATCACTAGTACATTTATTAGACAAAAAGCCGAACTGATTTTGCGATAAAATATGTTTAAGGAGAAAGGGCATAAGTATATAACATAACTTTTATAAGCCTTTCAATAATTTTTGATAGTGCTGGTAACAAGGCAATAGGTCTATAGCTGCAGGCATCAGATTTTTCTCCACCTTTATGAAGAGGAATAACGATGGCAGTCTTTAGGCAGTTAGGGAATGTACCTTTTTCAAGGGGATCATTTACTAGCGAGACCATGATTTCCAAAACATTATGCGGAAGATTTGAGAAAATTTTAATAGATAATCCATCTGTACTACAGGACGATTTGCTTTTTATACTACGAATTGTTTGAATGAGTTCAGTCTTATCAACTGGTCTTAAAAAGAAGGTATCAGCAATGTTTTTTGAATTAAGGAGATAGGAAACTGGATCTTGTTGTGGCGAAATAGTTGAGGTTATATTTTTACTCACATTAACAAAGTAATCATTTACATTTTCGGGGTTAGGAAAAGAAAAAGTTTGATTCGCTGCACTGGTTTTATTTCGAAAATCGTTTATTATTGACTTAAGTTCCTTTTGAAATATTTCAGAGAAGGCATATTCTTCGCAGATATGCGAATGCCTTTAGTAATCCAAGGGTTGTAATGTTTTGGCCTGATGTTTAATAGAGGAAATGCTTTATTAAAAATAGATACAAGTCTATTTATAAAATCAATAACATTACAGTCAATGTCCCCAGAAGAAAAACTCCAGTCAGAAGTCAAGCATGAATTATAGAATTTACGAAAGTTTTGAGTGGAAAAAAAACGGGTGTGGCAGTCCAGTGGGACTGCCGGTAGAAGTTATACTTCTATACACGCGCTCGCCGTTAAAAATTTATATGGGAGTCAATCTGCACAATCATTACATATGTAATGCTATAAATATGAGAGAGCAGAAAGAGAAAAATAATTATAGGTATATGGTGCATCGTTTGCTGTATATAAACATTTGACCTGTAATAAGAATATAGTAAATGAAGGATTGTATCAATATTTTATTTCAGGTATATGTCTGCCAGCTGATCGAAGGGTCTCGTTCATTCTACAACATATTTAGTAAATATACAACATGTTTACAGGTTTATTTTAATATGACTAATTTTTACGTAACAATAGCATTTATTTTATTTATATACTTTACTTCATAATAATGCAAATATCCTTTCAATACATCTGTTACGATGTAAGACTACCTGACTAATAGAGAAATATGCAATATTAAATATCGAAGTTTTAACTTTAAATTTCTTTATACTCCCTGGAAATGTTTTGATTACTTAATGATGATTTATTACTCTACGTCTTTTTTTACAGCGTTTAGTTACTGTTTACTTCATTTTAGCCCCAAACCTTTGGAATTGACCGCAGGAAACGAATGTATATTGATTGAAAATTTACATGTATTTAAGAAACACGGATTTTCCTTTAAAATAGACCAGGACGGTAAGTTTGTACTTGAAATTTATAAAAGTTATGAAATGGTTACCGATGTCAGTTCATCTAAGATGTTATGTTTCTGTGAACAGAATCATGCCTATGAAAGTAATAAAAGTAGATTGGATTGGACATATTATATTCAAGATAATATTATTTTGCCAACACACCAAAAGATTACCTGGACAGAAATTATGTTATAATGTAGTGGTGTACTTATAATTATCTTAATTATTTTATTTTTATCTGTTAGTCCAATTTTTTCTAATCTCCCCCAAAAAATATTGATTATTGGTAGTTTTTGGTAGATTCCAGTTTTGTTTCTATATTTGAAGGCATCGGACCTACGCCTTGTTTTCAGTGCAGTTTTTACCAATAGAATTGGTTTATAGCAATTAGTAATTAGTTGTGTTTTGGAGACAGCTCTATTGAGACTATAGACCATAGTAAGTAACGAGGGCGCTCCTTAACCACCCTCAATTAATATAAATAATAACGCTAGTTAGAAGTACTAAGGTGCGTCAATAAAGATAGAGAACTGCTAAATACTGTTAAACATCGAAAAATGTCTTATCTGGGACATATAGTAAGAGGAAGTCGATATAAAATATTACAACTGATCCTTAGAGGGCCGTAGAGGTGCAGGAAGGAAACGGGTTTCTTGGTTGAGGAACGAATGGACTCTGATCAAATCAGAGTCCATTCAAATTCAAAATCAATTATTCCATATTGTAGAAGATCGAGAAGCCTTCGCAATGGTGATCACCAATGTCGGATAATTCTGATATGGCACGCGAAGAAGAAGAACGCTAGTTCCATGGATACAGTATTCTCAAAGGTAAATAATTATGACCAACTGATTCAGGCCCTTATCCGGTATTTTTGGAGCATGCTGAAAAAATCAATAAACTGAAAAATCTTAAACAGTATAAGATTCGCAGACGACACCGCTGTTTTTACAGACAGTCTAAAAGCATTGCAACGCTTAGTAAATAGATTACATCAAGTCAGTATCAAATATGGACTACAAATGAACGTTAAGAAAACCAAGTTCATGATTATTTCTAAGCAACATGCAGTAGGAAGGAATAACTACAAATATCTGGGAACCTGGGTAAATGAAAATAATGACCAAGGTAGAGTAATAAGGACACGCATTGAAATTGCAAGACAAGCATTTATAAAAATGAAAACAATGTTTGTCAATCGAGACCTTTCTCTGGATCTGAGGATAAGAGCCTTAAGATGCTACGGTGCGAAATATGAGATATTAAGGCTCATAATGCAAGGTAAAATCAAGGGTAAAAGATCCATAGGAAGACGAAGAATTTCCTGGCTGAGAAACCTAAGAGAGTGGTATAGTTGCAGCTCAGTAGATCTTTTTAGAGCAGCCGCTAATAAGGTACGGATAGCTGTGATGATAGCCAACCTCCGATAGGAGAAGGAACTACAAGAAGAAGAAGAAGATAAAAACCTCGGTCGTATTGTTTCCATTAGAATTGGATTTAATGTATAACTGGTTATTGAATTTTATTCGTATATTTATTTATATTACAGTAGCTGGGCTGCAAAGAATAAAACGAAAAATAATAAATACTGAAACTAGACAGATAGACAATTGGTAGTAATAAATTTTATAAGCAATAAAATTCCATCCTCCATTAACATCAATATGGTTAATTTGTTTGTAGTTTTGGACAGAATCGGTGAAAAATAAAAATCTGGATAGCTTTCCACTAATCATAGAATTTAGAGAAGAACTGGAATCGGACATACTGAAGCTGTCTTTAACGAGTTTTACATTCATCTGTTAAATTTACTTAAAAATTTCCATGATTATTTTCCTGAGGAATTCCACGACAAAATTAAAGAATACCTTGCAATATTAAAAAAAACCAGCTTGATTAACATCTCAGCAGTATGAATGCCTGATTGGTTTGAAATCGGATTCTGCTAAAACATTTTGAAAGTAAATCGCTAGCAGATTTTTGGAGTCAACTGAAAGACGAATTTGAAATTCTGTCAGATAAAGCAAAAATGATTTTTCTCCCTTTTGCAATAACATACTTATGTGAAGCAGCATTCTCTGCCTATGTGGCCTCTAAAACAAAATATAGATCTCGACTGAATGCGGAACCTGACATTTGGTTGAAGTTATCCCAAATTCTAAGTTTACCGAAGAACTTTACCAAAGAACTCTTTGATAAAGTCAGACAACTCACACGTAAATTCAAGCAGAAATCTTGGTCTATCAAAGATGATGAAGGTAATGTACAGACGGATTTGGACAAGGTTATTGATGTTTGGAGGGCGTATTGTAAGTCTTTATACGCCAATACGGACCAGATGCCAGCGGACGCCCCGTTTGTACCTGACTGCCAGACCTCCACTTTCCATTCTCCTTCAACAAAGACACACCACACTAGTTTTGAGTCTGAACCTGACATACTTTTTTCCGAGGTGGAATTCGCTTTAAAAAGACTTAAGTTAAACAAAGCAGCAGGATATGATCTTATTACTGCAGACGTCTTGAAGCATCTTCCGGAATGTGGAGTGAAAATATTACATCGATTGTGCAATGAAATATGGCACACAGGCGTCTGGCCTGAGGATTGGAGAAAGACCATAATCATACCTCTTCATAAGAAAGGTTCAACAAATAATTGTAACAACTACAGGCTATTAGCTCTAATATCACACGCCAGTAAGGTGATCCTCTACATACTGCAACGGCGTCTAGAAAACTTCATAAGTTGGCAAATAGCACCTGAGCAGGCTGGATTTGTAAAGGGCAGAGGTACTAGAGAACAAATCCTTAATGTACGAAACATCATAGAAAAAGCCAGAGAATACCAGATCCCGATATTTATGTTTCGTCGATTATACAAAGGCCTTTGATAATGTTAGATGGGACAAACTATGGAACATATTGACGACAATGGGTGTACCTAAACACTTGACTCACCTTATTAGCAAACTGTATCAAGATAACCTGGCCTATATTCGAATGGACGGATATCTGTCTGACAAATGCACTTTGGAGAAGGGAGTACGCCAAGGATGCGTTTTATCTCCCTTATTATTTAACATCTATTCGGAGTTCATAATGCGCAGAGTTTTGGATGGTTGGGAGGGAGGAGTAAACCTAGGTGGTGTTAAGATATCTAACTTGCGTTTCGCAGACGACACTACACTTCTAGCCTCTACTCCAAAGAAATTACTAAATTATTAAAAAAACTCGAGGTAGAAAGTGCTAAATTTGGACTCATGGTTAACTACAACAAAACCAAAATCATGGTTATTGATCGCCAACAACAGTTTCCTGAAACCCAAACTATTGCGGGATGCGAGGTAGTCTCATCTATGATATATCTTGGAGCTCTAGTTAACAACACAGGCAGTTGTGAATCCGAAATTAGAAGACGCATTCAACTAGCAAGGGCAGCAATGAGTGAACTAAACAGGGTCTGGCGTGATCGTCACATTACTATGACAAACAAAAAGAGACTCGTTTTAACTCTGGTCTTTTCCATATTTTACTATGCATGCGAGACATGGACAGTCAAAGAATCAGATCGACGACGTATAGACGCCTTTGAAATGTGGACATGGAGACGCCTGCTTCGAATTCCATGGACGGCTCGCCGTACAAATATCTCGGTTCTGGATGAAATTAAACCGGATCAGCGTCTCTCTAGTACCGTTTACTCTAGAATTTTAAAGTTCTTTGGCCATATCCATCGAAGTGATCACAAAATGGAGCGGTTGGTGGTCCAAGGAAGGCCTCAGACTCAACGCCAACGCGGAAGATCTCCACAGCGATGGGCGGACATTACTAAAAAGCTTCTCAATAAACAGTATACTGAGGCATATACATATAACTGATGACCGCGACCAGTGGAGAAATATTATCAATCAAACTGTCCGAGCTGCTGAAGCCCAATTATGAACCACAACACATCTACCAAGATGTTAATGACTGTGATGATGATGATGATCCCAAATTCAACCGGATATTACTAACCTGTTCAAATCAAGGCAGCCTCATTCTTCACAATAAAATGATGACATTACGTTTTTTAAAATTTTAGAAATAGGATCTGTGTGTTCATTTTATTTTTGTTTTTCGTTATATGTAATTAAGTTTCTTATGTTTGCGATTAAAAAAAAATTAAATAAAGTGAATAGAAAATGTAATGGCTAATATACCTCCTTCTCCCCAACTTTCCAATGCAATATGATAAGTGCTACCTCCGAAATTGTGTCCTGAATAGTGCTCCTCGACCAAAAAACTTTGGGAAACGCTGCCTTACATGACGGAACAACAACAAGAATTTCTCCAACTAGTAATCATTCAGCAGTTAACTTAACTCTAACAAGACCTTATTGGTGGGACGAGGAATGTTCTACGATTGTTACAAAGCGAAAAGAAGCTCTTAAAGAATTTAAATACAAGTGAATTAAATAAAAACCCTTTTTTGATTGATATACGGAATACTGTAAAATCTATTTGCAATAAACATCATCAAAAAACAAAACCTTAATTAGACGAAAGCCTTGTTCAAAAAGTTTTTGATAAATTGGCTTCATCTGTTTTGGGTACAATTTTTAACGACAACATTAATCAATCACTTTTACCAAGACTCAGAAACTGAGTCTTGGAAAATGGTAAACTTCTTTTAGAAATTTTTAATGATTGGTGGTTGATACAAAAGTATTCAGATGGTCTTAAAAATATACTAGAGTGCCTCTAGTAAAACCTAAGAAACAACCTGTCTTATCTTCGTCGTACCGAGTTATTTCATTATTATCGTGTATTAAAAAAACTTTCGAAAGGCTTACAAAATTTAGGCTCAGATATTTTGTAGGAAGCAGATTATTTTTAACAAAAAATCAGTATGGATTTCGTAAAGGCATAGGTACAACTAAAGCAATCTCCCATTTAGTTTACAAACGCACAATTCTGTCTAGCAAGAAATAATTATATGTTATCTCTTTTTGTGGACCTAAAAGGGGCTTATGATGTGGTAGATTTGGAAATACTATATTCAAAAATGGTGGCATTTGGCATAATAGAATCTCTATAAATATGTATTTTAAATTTTTTTGCTAATACAAAAATATTTTTACGAGATCATCATAACGTTTTACATGGTCCAAAAGTCCTTTACGACGGGTTTTCTCAAGGTTCTATTTTAAGTAATCATTTGTTTATCTTAAACACTGCGGACGTACGTGATTTGATGAGCTTCTTCTTCTTCAAGTTCCACTCCTGTCGGATATTGGAAATCATTCTGGCAATTATAATTTTATTGGTTACTCGCCTGAATAGTTCAATTGAACTGCATCTAAACCATTCACGGAGATTGCGTAGCCACGAGATTTTACGTTTTCCTACGCTTCTTCTACCTTTGATTTTACCCTGCATTATATTCCTTAGTAGTTCGTACTTTTCACTTCTCATGATGTGCCCCAAGTATTCCAATTTCCTGATTTTATGGAATTTAAAACTTCGCATTGTTTTCCTAGTTGTTCGAGATCTTGTTCGTTTGTTTTGCGATACATCCATGATATTTTCAAAATACGTCGGTAACACCACATTTCGAATGCTTCTAGGTTTTTAATGTTGGATTTTTTAAGTGTCCAAGCTTCAACTCCATACAAAAGGTAGAAAAAATATAACATCGAAGCATTCTTATCCGGAGAGATATATTGATATCGCGATTACAAAAAAGTTTTCTCATTCTATTAAAAGTTGGCCGCGCAATTTCAATGCGGCATCTTATTTTTTTGTCTGATCAGTATCTTCTGTGATCCATGGTCCAAGGTATTTGTACGAAGATATTTGTTCAATTTCTGTATTATCTAGTACTAGCTTAACTTTGATGTTTTGTGCTTTTGTAAATACCATGAACTTGGTTTTCTTCAAATTGATTTTTAGTCCATATCGTTGCAATATATATTTAGTTGTTCAGCAAGGTGTTGCAGTTCTTCTAGTGTTCCTGCCAGAAGGACGGTGTCGTCAGCATATCTTATGTTATTAAGTGGCTCACCGTTTATTATAAGGCCCTCACTGATCTCGGCAAGCGCTAATTCTGAGATGGCGTCACTGTATAGATTGAATAACAAGGGTGATAAAATACACCCTTGGCGGACCTCACGGCGAATCTGGATATCCTTGGTCAGTTCGTTTTCAACTTTCACTTTTGCTGTTTGATTCCAATAGAGGTTACAGATGATTCTAATGTCTCTACTGTCTATGTTTTTATTTAATAAAATTTCTTTAAGTCGATTATGCTGCACTCTGTCAAATGCCTTCTCAAAATCAATGAAACAGGCATATACTTCCTGATTAATATCTAAACATCTCTGCGAAAGAACACTTAATGCAAACAGTGCATCTCGTGTTCCCAGTCCTTTCCTAAATCCCATTTGTGTATTACTTATGCCTTCATTAATTTCTTATGTATTCTATTGTGAATTACTTTTAAAAACAATTTCAAGACATGACTCATTAAGGCTATGGTGCGATGTTCATTGCACTCCTTTGCATTGGCTTTTTTGGGAAGCAGTATGAATGTTGATTGGAGCCATTCTTTAGGTATTATACCTGTTCTATATATGGTATTGAATAGATCCAAAAGAAGAACAATAGATTCAGTATTCACAATTTTAAGTAATTCGATAGGAACTTCATCAGGCCCGGGAGATTTACCACCTTTAGCTTGTTTCATTGCATATTCAATTTCTTCTCGTATAATGTCAGGCCCAGTATCATCCTTAAATTCTTTTGGTGCTTCTGTTCTCTCTTTGTCTTCAAAAAGTTGTGCTATATATATTGTATCCATCTCTGCATTTTTTGAGTTATATCTGTTATAAGTGCACCCCTTTCATCTCTTAGTTTCTTAGTTTGAAGTGTTTTTCTCATTCGTGTTAATTCTTTTATGCATGTTAAAAAGTCATATTTTTTCTCAATTTCTTCTAGTTCTTGGCACTGCTCATGTAACATTCTCTCCTTAGCTTCTTTTATTCTCTTTTTTATTAATCGATCAGTTTCATTATATTTAATTGGATTTTTTGTTTTGAATGATTTTCTTTCATTCATTAATAGTAGTATTTCTTCAGTCATCCAATCTTTATGTTTTCTATTCTTTGGTTTTAAGTTTTCATTTGCTGTTTTAATTATTGCTGCTTTTATATTTTCCCATTTCTGATCAATGTTATAGCTACTTTTATTCAGTTCTTGGGCATGACGTAGATTTTCAGTAAGAGTTTTTACAGTTTGTTCCTTTGTTTGTGGTTCCCTTAATCACTTAATATCAATTCTACTTTGTGTGGGTTTTTTAACCAGTTTTAATTTGGTTCGTAATGTGACTACTATGGGGTTATGGTCTGAACCGATGTCTGCTCCAGGGTAAGTTTTGACAGACAGTATAGAATTACGAAATCTTCGTCTAATAAGGACAAAGTCAATTTGATTTCGGATTATTCTATTCGTTGTATCACCGGGAGATTTCCATGTATTCTTTTTGGTAGCTTAAAAAGTGTATTAGCTATTACAAATTCTTCCGTCTGGCAAAATTGTATCAAACGGTTACCACGTTCATTTCTATTTCCTAGACCATATTCCCCCACGTATCCATCCACTCTTCCCTGGCCAACTTTGGCTTTGAAGTCGCCCATTACTATTGTAGTGTGATTTTCTTCATTGATTTTAAGACTTTTTCCAAATCATGGTAAAACAGTTCGATATCGTCGTCATCTTTATCTGCCGTAGGAGCATAAACTTGAATAAAAATTTACTATAACCTTTTTTAGACTGTAGTTGTATTGATAAGATCCTATCAGAATAAGGAGTAAAACTTACCACAGAGTAATTGACCTTTTTTACAACTAAGATAGCAACACCATAGCGATGATTGACCTCGTTGTTACCTGAATAATACATGGTTACATTATTTGTAATTTGTTTGCCTGAACCTGGCTACTGTACGTCACTTATACCTAAAACATCAATTTGGAGGTTTTCTATTTCAAGCAGTACGTTCGCTAATTTACCAATTTCCACAGGGATTTCTCTGGTTTACGACCTGGGAGGCCCTGTGATCTACAGCTATTCCTCCCCTGCCGGATCTTGGATTCCGTGCTCCATAATCAGTAAGTTTGTTTACTCTACTTCTCATTTGCCATTAATGACTTTACTAGGGGTACTCTAAGAGTCTTTAATGAGACTCATCAAATAATAATTTGATGAGCGGTGACACACAAATTATTCAATACCATTTCTGCATTTATGTCAACCATAATACCTATAATCGCTGCATGATAGACTTTAGACGTACTTTCGACAACTTTCAAAACTGGTTCGGTGAAACTTAGTGTTTTACCAGAAAAGACAGCTGTGATGTGCCTCACAAGGTACACATATCACTTAGTTAATAAAGGCTCTTTGGGCAAATACACTATCTCTATGGTAAACGAATATATATATATATATATATATATATATATATATATATATATATATATATATTTAGGTATAATTATAGTTAAAAAACGAGAAACTGGAAACAATGGACTAGCCTCTTTATCAAACCGAGATGTGAGAAGGGAATTCATGTTGTGCGCTTCCTCTCGAAACTGTGATGGGGCGCAGATCAACAAATTTCCTAATGTCCTACAAGTGTTATATTCGCTCGATTTTAGATGATGGCAATATACTATACTCTATATGTTTCTATCTCTAACACGAACCAACTTACTGTCGATCGAATACAGTATAAGGCTCTAAAAAATATGTTTGATAGCCATGGTATCTTCACCAAATCGTGCCATTCTGACAGAGTCTCAAGAACTTTCTCTTAGTTTTCGAAGATAATTTTTAACAGAATTTTCATGTTGGCAATATAATTGTCAAGAACAAATTAAACTACAAACTAACTTTCTCTCGAAGTTGACATTCATGACATTAAGGGTTATTTGTACTTTTCTATTGGTTGCTATTCTAATTCATTTATAATTTATCAAAATTCAATTCTTTTTAATTATTTTTTCAAATATTTTTTTAATAATGTTTTTTAAATTCATTTTGCAGCAAACTATTATATATATATATATATATATATATATATATATATATATATATATATATATATATATATATATATATATATATATATAGTCTAATTTGTCCTTTTTTAGCTCCTTGTACTAAGAAAGTTTCTTTGAGTGCTATTCCAATAAGTCGAAGTTTTGTATTTTCTAAAGAAGATATAATTGAAATGTTATATATGTTGCAGGTAAGAACGATTATATATATATATATATATATATATATATATATATATATATATATATATATATTGTTGTTTGTTTTTTTTTGTGATAAAATGTATAACGAGATATTCTACACTATCCATATATGACAGATATTTGACAATTTGTGAAATGCAATCGGTAAAATGCACTATCATATACAGGATTCATGGTATTTTCACAAATTTCTTTCAAAACAGTATGTACCAATTAATCACAAACATATCTTTCGACATAAAATCATTCTATACTAATATTCAAATTAAAATAGCTTTAAAATGTGATGGAGTAACAGCCAAACACATACTTCATTTCCTCTTAAAGAATTTCTGGAAAGTGTAAAATTTTGCCTCAGCTCTAAAGAGCCTCATTCTACCTCAACATGAAAATGAATAAATACTATTCTCAGATTTCCATTACATGGGTTTACCTATCTTAGCACCAATAACCATCTTAGTGATGGAAATATTTTAGATAACAGTCGTTTATTAATTAAAATACAGCATACATTTCTACAAACGATATGTCGATGACTGCTTATTCTGCATTTCAGACCATGAAATTGATCATATCTTTCAAATGTTCAATCATTTTTATAATAACATTCAATTTACTTAAAACTTTAAAGAAAATTTAACAAATTACTTTTCTTGAGTTATGTTTAGTGTATAATAACAATCACCGACTGATAACTATTGACTGGTTTACATAAGATGTTTGGTCCGGAAGATATTTAAATTTTAATACCAACTCGCAAAATAAAAGTAGTAACTTATCCGATTTAAACAAGTACTATGTAATATGCTTATCATACATTGTTATATACCATACAAATGTTGGAGATAAATTATCAAAAAATCAGAAAAATATTTTTCAAAATTTACACCCGTGTTGCTAAAGATCATCAGTCGGATGTTGTTTTAAAGTAAATTGTAAAGATTGGACTTCATACATAGTTAAACATGTATTGCGTAAAGACACCAATATCTACATAGTACGCTTGTTGCACACAAACAGTGTACAAACCAACAAATCGAACACTACAGCCTTAGCAAAACATTCTACAAAAAATAGCCATTCTTTTGATTTTGAAAATGTACCGATTTTGGAAAAACAAAAGAACTATAACAAAATATGTGTAATGGAGATGCTTCGCATAAAAGATGATCAAAATTGTTTTAATAATAAGACCGATTTAAAACATCTCTCCAATATACATCACAACTTAATACATTTCTATTTAACTGGGAATAAGCCACAATTAAAGGTTAAAATACGTTTATTGACTTTTCAATTTCCACTTCGGAAATCGTACTCAAAATACAAACATTAGTAAATTAAACAAATTTTGTTTTTTTTTTGTTACTTACTGAAAAATTCTTCTAACAATTTAATTTTATCTGACTCATTTATATTGACCATTCATATCTTGTGTAAGACATAATATTGCCAATATTGTTGAGTTGCGCTTCTGGGACGACTTTACTTATAAGATAGTTCATTCGATTACATGAAATCAACTTTAACTTGAGAATATCCGTCAGAAAAAATCATAGCATGTAATTCGTCTTTACAAAGACAAACACATACCGCGATGACAGTAATATTCTCCTGTTAGTGGTTCCATAGTAAATTATGAGGGAAAAACCAGGAAAAAATCCTCATAATACCGAATGGCTCTTTGAACAGTACGACTTACCCTAGCATCTGGGCGGCATAATATCTGGGCCATGAGATTAAATTAGGAAGAGACAATCAAACAACAGAGTTAAACAGGAGAATACCACTGACATGGGCAGCTTACGGAAAACTGAGGGAAGTCTTGAGATTAGACATTACCATGTGCTTGAAAAGAAAGGTCTTTGATCAATGTGTACTTCCAGTTTTAACGTATGGAGCAAACATTGACCCTTGCGAAAAAAGTAATCAATAAGATATAAGTGGCACAGAGAACAATTGATAGGTCAATGTTGAATATATCCCACAGAGGCAGAGATTCAAATCAAATAGGAGAAAAACTGGTTTTACGGACACAGTTAAAAGAATTACAACGCTGAAATGCAACTGGGCAGGACGTGTTGCATGAGTCAGAGATGGACTAAGAAAATTTTAGAATGGAGACCTAGACACTATGCTTATCGTAATCGAGGTCGTCCTCCAACAACATGGCCGGATGACATCAAGCGCATAGAGCACAACTGGATTCAGGGTGCTCACGATCGGATGCAATGGAATTATTTACGGGAGGCCTATGTTCAATAGTAAACTCAAAACGACTAATAATGATGAATTGCAAAAACAACTGTCGAATCCAGTTGATTTGACACAAATTAGGCATAACTCGATGCAAGTGCAAGAAAATATTAAAAAATATTATTTGGGGAGGAGACAAGTAGAGTTTGTGGTAGGGAATATCGTAGTTCAAGATTATAAACACCAAAATCTCTAGGTGCAAAGCGAATATTTTACGAATTTTAGGTAAATCATATTTGGTAAATCTTTAAAGTAAAATTTCCTTCGTGGAAAAGATATTGCAGTCAAATTTTTAATAATAATGATTTATACTATCCAGGCCTTACAAATTCAACAAGAAATATAAATGGGAAAGTAACTCACTATTTATACTCAGGTTACTAGGTACTATCTCAGGTATCTCAAAATGATAATGATGATATCCGAGAGTCAGGAATCCCACATAGACGTCACTCATGTATATACTGTCATTGTTTATATACCAAACATTTCACTAATATCACTAGGAATCCTAAGATTTCCTAAATGACGAAACTACAATCAAATTTCTTTACCACTGTGCTTTCTAAAGCTTGTAAAGCAGACATATTGATGAATTAGTCGGCATTAGTTAGAAGGGAATCTAAAATATGCATTCCACATGCCGTTCATGACCGTTCATCACGGTCAAAATTCGTAGTGAATTCAGTTTCTGGTACTTCAAACAGAGTAAAGAAATAAAACAGAACGACAGTATTAGATTTTAATTTCGATGCAGGGCCATAGGAGCCGCTTAAACTTATTTCGACCTCTTTAGGTCTCAACTAATACCGTCATTATGATATATTTCACTAATAATGACAGAACTAATCACACATTTTTAACATGATCATAGCAATATAATATGCCAGTGTTAAGTTTTAAGCTCACTTTATTTTTGATTAAATTTTTATGGTGTAACTACGTCACTTAGACTATGTAATAAACAACATTTTGAGTAAAGTGATTTTTTTATATATAGGTAGTTCTTCTAGTAAATAAAAAACCAATAAAAAATAACTTTAATTTAGTTTAGCTATATACATATCAATAAACGGACGATGCATTTAAAAGTAGAATACTTTTCTATAAAAAGAAAAATGTAGTAAAAGTATAGTATTGTACTCGCATCTAATTGCTTTACATACCCGTTGAATAATATACTATTAAAAATGAATTTCCAATATTCGTTTATCATTGATGATTATTTTTATCAATAACTCTGTTACCAAGTACAAAACGTAAAATTTTTGTTCTTACGATTTAATTTTTTTTAGTCTATCGATTCATTGTCGGAAAAGGCCGGCGTCAATTTACAAAATTTTCTTTATAATTTTTATTTTTAAGGTTTCGAGTCAATCATGTGTACCTAGCAAACTTAAAAAGATGTTTGCATCAAGAGCTTGCAGAAAATCTGTAATGATTGGTACTGATCTCAGCAAAACGGATATGAAAAAATTGATAGATCATATGGGAGAGATTGATCAACCATGGGTAAGAGAACATTTTAACTGTCATAGAAAATATTTAATTATGTCTGTATGATACTTTCATCTTCCATAACCTATAATCTACTTGTATAGTATGCCCGTTGGTTCTTTTCACATGTATAACATTATTCACAAATTATTTTTAATATACACTGTGTGTCACGATGGGCTATCTATATATCGAAAACTATTTAAACGAAATTTGTGAAAAAAAAATTGTTTATGGGAATTTCAAGTTATGATAAACTTTAAAAAGTTGTTGGTAGACATACCACTTCCGGTTATACCAGAAGTGAACAGCAACTTTGCATATTTTAAATGGAATACCATGTATATTATTGCACTTTTAGATTTTGCATAAGATTCTAGATAAAATTTTTAAACGGTATCGTGGATCAAAATTTCATATTTTTTGAGTTATCTTTTTCAAAAATTTTGACAGATAGACAACTTTTCAAAAGCTAATATCTCATACATTTACAATCATAATCAAAATCGAATTTATAAATACAAGGTTTTCATAAATGATACACTATTTCTTTAAACTTCAAACTACAGTTAGTCAATGATTATATATAAAACACCCTTACTCCAGTCGTCAGAGACGAAAATGCCACTGAACCTCTAAAAATCATACGACAAGCTGAATTTTGCTGCTCATATAAGTTTGGGAAAAATATATAGAAAAGTTTACCATTTTTACCCCCGGGCTTCCCCCTAAATCCCCCTCACAGGGGGGAAAACTTAATTATATTAAGTATAAAAATCCTTTTAGACTTAAAGGATTTTTTAATTAAAATTTATTGTTTTATTCTAGCAGGACGTGTATGATAATGTCATAATTGTTATTAATTGTGATTATTGGCTCTTTTACAAAGTTAAAGAAATGGTCGTTTAGAATTAAACAAAAAATATTGCGTAAATTTACTTTGAATATATTGAGATTTATTACCTAAATAAATAGTTTAAGTTACCATCGTAAAAGTGGAGAGCTACAACCTGGTTATCTCTGATCGCACAAAAGATATTAAACTCCCATCGCTCCTGAAAACCACGTACTCTTGTTAAATGTTGATTTACTTCGCTCCATTAATTCGAGTTGGGCGTATTAACTTGACGTTTTATCGTTACAAATTCTATTCTTTTATTATCGTCTGTTTTCTTTAAACTGAACTGTGGTATAAGAATAGGGATGAAATTTTTTTAACGCTTCGGGATAAGCAGCATAGTAAGCAAGTAATGTAATTAAAAACATTAATTACATGATCATTATTATCTACAATAGGATTCGCTTTTAGTGTTGTCCAAAATCAGTCTTGGTCTTGCAGTCTTGGTCTCGTTCTTCTGTTTTCGTAAGACCAAGACCAAGATCGCCTAATTTTAGCAAGACCAAGACTGACCGTGTAAGATTTGATTAAAAAAAAGACCAAGCCCGCGAGACTCTAGCGTCTTGCAGTTAGGACTGAGTAGTCTCGGTTTAGGGAGTATAGTAGTTCGGGTATACGTTTAGAGACTCTATGAGACGCAAAAATATATGTAACGAAAATTTGGAAAATTGGACTTTGCGCATTAAGAACAATATCATAAAGATACATATCGAATCAAAATATTAATTAAAAGAACACATGACATATTTGACACGTACTCAGAGGTCATAATTACAATGTAAAAATAAAATATTTTGTACATTCTTTCCCAGCAGACGACTTCTTCGCTCTGAAATTAATTGTTCATATTTTGAGAATAGCCGCCCCTCTAATCATAAAATAATCTTCTTGCGTTGCAACGCCGACAGTAAAATCGTATCGAAACTTTTTTAAAATATGTCACCTTAGCTGATAAAAATTATAAGTTTAGCATACCTACTGTTAAAGACACCCACCTATAATATATTCAACTTTTGTCCTTATTATAATTTAGTTAGGCGGAATCTATATACCACAAATTATCTTATCGACCTAAGACTAAACATCGTTTCTGCTGAATCTGCGATGAGATCATTCGATTAAACAAAATTTGCTGAAAGAGCGCGGCTGATAGTCAAAAGTAACGAAACAAGTTAATAACAGACAACTACCGTGTAAACAAAATACCGAAATATTTGAAGTAACGATATATAATTCTTGGTTTGGTATTCGCTACTTAGGATATTGGATGGTAACGAATATAAAATAACGAGTAGTTACTGTTTCGACATCACTAAACTTCATTCCCCATTGAGCTTTCTTTCGAATCTAAATTGTTTTTCATCTAATCCTTCTTGCTCTCGGAGTGACAAGTTTACAATTTGACATGCGTGACGAAAATTCAAACAGTGCTAGTCGGAGTAATGAGAGTTGGAGTCATAGATCTCTAAAAGACTTAAAAGCAAATTTGGTCGACATGCTGGAGAAGATATTACAACGATGTTCCACAAATGTTTATTATTGGAATATGACAATTGATAAAATACAGCGTATCACGGTCGACAACGCAACTGCAAATACCAATTGTATGTATGAACTGAGCAAACAGCTGCCAAACTTTGATTTAGACAATCAACATTTTCTGTGCTTTGCTCACATTCTGAATCTTGGTGTATAAGACCTTAGCATTACACAGTGAAACTGATAATAATGGACAAGAACAGCAGTATGAAGCCCATGAAGACGAAGCTGAGGAAGATGATGAATATGCGCAAAAATTTTCCTGACTCACGTACAGCTATAACAAAATTAAGTAGTATTTCCAGTAAAATAAAAATAAGTGATATATTGAAGAGGAAGTTTCAGTCTACTTGTGAAGCAGCTGGTGTGCTATCAAATAGAAAACATAGAAATAGGTTAAGTGATGAGACAGCCAGATGGTTACTGTATATTCTTGGTCAAAGGAATTAATATAAAGTAACAATGATGCCAAAGTACTATTCTGTAACTTAAATTGTGTTGTATTTTTATTCATATAAATGGGGTGTTTAGTAAACTGTATTACTTTGTATTAATTCTTGGTCAAAAAAATTAATTTAAAGTAACGGTAATGTCAAAGCTATTGCGTACTGTTGTATTATTTAATTTGTATTGTGTTTTATCTTTCATTTAAGTAAATGGTAAATTGTATAACTCTTTTATTTCATTTCATAAAAGGTGAGGGTCCATCAATCGCTTTCTAGACAGATAATATTCTCTAAAATACACTCAAGTTTGTCATTAATTTGGTTTTTTTGTGTCTTAACCATGTGTTAGCACATGTAAGCAAACGTTTATTAAGAAATAGATTAACTCCCGTGGGACATGGTACATACGTTCGTTAGTTAAAGCATAGGCACGGAACGCTTAGATAGTGGGTTCAATCTCCGCCCGGTCTCAGTTGCTTAGACATTTATTAATTTGGTTGGTCCTTATTATGGCTAAATGCTTAAAATGTACGTACTCTGTTCAGTTGTTCTAAGATCTAAAGTAACGTTTAATAAATAGCAATGAGCTAATGGGTAACCGAGATTTGCAAGACCAAGACTAAGACCTGAAGCGCAATACCAAGACCGGGTGTATGGACGCAAGACCAAGACTTTCTAAGTCTCGTATTGTTCTTGCATTTGGGCAACACTATTCTCTTTTTTAACTTTTTGTTGAAAATAACTAAAATGTATTAAATTTTTAAGTAATCTCTTTACAGTGTCACGGGTAGTTCGTGATAAATCTGGATATCTTGAAGCAAATAAATCATGTGTTCTAGTAATAATTGTCACATCCTCCATATATTAAAAGTAAGTTTATGCATTCTTAACACCTTGGCGACGACGTGTACCACCGGTGGTACATGCTGTATATTATTTGTAGCCGTCGTGTACCACCGGTGGTACATGGTAATATATTGAGTTAACGTGATATAAAATCAACCAGATTTAAGTGAAGCTTTCAATATTCAGTCCTCGGCTATATAAAAGGTATAAGTACATCAGTGTACCACCGGTGGCGCACTCGGTTATTATTATGATTAGAACATGACAATAAAGAGCGGACACCAAAAATAATAATTATTTTTATTTTCCAATTTAAAAATATTAAAATTAAAATAATTCTGAACAAAAATAAAAACTTTAGCTTACTAACTAATATGACAACAAATATTGAAAATCAAAAAACTTATTATTCTTATATTTCTTAAAACTAATTATATGAAAATTAAAACAAAAGCGAAAAAAATTAACATGAATTACGTTTATGTTTTTCATTAAAGCATTCTAAACATAATACAGGTTTGTTTGGACAATCCTGACAGAAAGTATTTACACGTTTAGTTTTTTTTCTCGCATGAGCACTACCAGCAGCTTCCTGCAATTTCTCGTAACAAGAGACACACCTTTTTGCGGTTGTCACGCACTTTTCCTTCGTATTTTGCCAGCTTATGAATAGTCATACTGCTACGAGACTTTGTTCGTGTGGGTTCCACTGCTTCCATAGTTTCAGAAATGCCCGACAATAACTCACGTGCAATTAGTTCTCTAAATTCCAACATGTGAAGTTTTTTGTTTGGGTTTGAATCATTGAAAATGATCCATGCGTTCACCATAGCTGTGCCCAAAACAACTTCCACAAATACTTTTTTATACCATTTTAGGCTTTTTCTCAAACAGGTATAATACGCAGACATTTGATCTGATATATCTACCCCCTTTTTAGCTTTGTTGTAAGCAATCACAGCAGGAGGTTTGAGAATGTCCTCTCCTCTTCGATTTTGCTTTCCAGTAGCCTGTAGATCACAGATGTGGCTTGGAACAGTGCTTATCATTAAAACGGCACGTTTGTCTACCCACTTTACGACACGTACGCCGTTATGATTTTGTTCGCCGTAAATCTCTCCTTTTCGTAATTTTTTTTGAGTAACTGATTTTGGAACTCCTCGTTTATTTGATCTTAACGTGCCGCACACGTACGTTTTAGCTTCTAGAAGAGACCTACAAAGCTGAACGCTAGTATAGAAGTTATCTATATATAACGTTCGGCCCTCATTCAGTAATCCTTGCAG